TATTGGAATGGCATAGTGGATGAGTTTGCACTGGGTCTAAGATATTTTTGCTGTGTAAAAATATGAAACCTAATTCAATATCCATATGTTCACTCATGATCTTTCACAGTCCCCTAATGCTAAAGGGCAAATGTGTTTTAATTAAATCAGAAGCTAACATAAATCCGTGGTCTATAATTTGGGCAGCAACCTGTAATTCTACTCAGAATATTAATTATTTTAGTCATTAATAAATGCCTAAAAGTAAGGTGTAGTTTATACCAGTAAAGATGCTAGCTCAAGTTTATAATGATTTCCTTTCTTAACTCGAATTTGGTTTTATACCAGAGATCCCTTCCTTCTACACCCACACTTGGAAATAATCTGTGCATGACTTTTCAAATAGTTCTGCATAGCACCACAGCCACTGGTGAGACAGAAAATGACAAATGACAAATGACAGAAAATGACAGAAAATGACAGAAAATGAAAAATGGACTGACATTTATTATTATTAAGAGAACTCTCACCCTTTATATTTTAAAAATATGTATTCAGGATATTACTTATTTGTCTAATGATTTATTTGAAAAAAACATTTCTGATACAAGTATTTGAGATGTTGTAGGGGATATTTTCACTCGAATTTCATTTTCTATATCAAACTCATGAAATAGTATATGACTCTTTTAGAAAGGAACATAAGATAATTAACAGTATTCCTTTGAGAAGAGAACTATTTTTTAGTTTCCATGAGGAGTCCTGAAATCAAACAGGAACCTTGGTAAGATTGACCTAGTGTGGGAAAGTTCAGCTCTTCGAGGAGGCATGTGAAATCTCTCAAGTACCAAAGAGAGAGATAATGTGTTTTACAAATAAATTTCATCTTGCCTTTGGAAATCCTGAGATTCCTTAAACTTTAGGTTTTCAAGAATAAATGTTTCTTGATGTATTTCCTTTAACAGTGTTACACTAGTCCCTTACTATTTTGCTGCTAATTTATACTCCTGGGAAATACCCACATCTGTCCTTGGGAAGTCACCATTGATTAAAACAAACAACAACCCTGTAATGTCTCTCTGTAGCATCATTACAGCAAATTGTGTGAGGATTAAATAAGATGACAATAATAATTTAAGTATCGTGTAGCTACCTTAAAGTAGTTTTATCTGGCTCTTCCTTTTAATTAAGGTTTGGAAAGAATCCCATCTTACATTAATACTTACTGTGCACTTGCACTAAAAAAAAAAAAAAGGAAAGATTAATTTATACAGCATTGAAAAATTTTAAAATGTTCTGTGGAGAAACGCACACGCAAACTATATTAATTGAGCTCTAAATTTGTGATGCTAAACAAAGAAAGCAAGGAAATGCACAGTGAAGCAGGAAATGTACCATATGTTATTGTATACCTGGGCACAATGGGGACACTATCTTAATGGCTTTCTTAATGTTCCTGTTGTACTAGATATCAGTGGACATATGGTATGCTGCCTTTTTATGCTTGTGTATTTTCATGATTTTGTTACTGACTTTGATAGCATTTTCTATTTGTCTACTGTTAGGAAAAAGGCTTCAAAATGTTTTGCTCTGGAGTCTGAAATCCATGCATTTTATTTTGATTATTCATTTGTACCTTAATTTTTTACTTTTATCTTTCTTCTTAAGCAGTTGCATATTACTTTTATTATTAGGCTTTCCACAGTTTTAGTCTCTTTTTGGCAATAATTTGGAATACAGTTGTGTAGTCTTTCCATGTACAGAGGGGTTTTGACTCACTGTCAGTACTGGCCAAACAGATGGCTAAAGCAACAGCAGCAGCTGCAGAGCTCACCAGGCTTTGAACAACTATGATGGTACAATGATAGAATCATAGAGTTATAGAATTATTTAGAATGGAAAAGGTCTTTAAGATCATTGAGTTCATCCATTAACCCAGCACTGCCAAGTTCAACATTAAACCATTTCCCCACGTGCTACATCTATATATCTTTTGAATACCTCCAGGAATGGTGGCTCAATCACTTCCCTGGGCAGCTGGTTCCAGTGCATGACAACCCTTTTGGTGAAGAAATTTTTCTTAATATCTGATGTAAACCTCCCCTTGCACAACCTTAGGCCATTTTCTCTTGTCCTGTTGCTTGTTACTTGAGTAACAAGCAATTGGCTTCTTCCCTGCCTGCCCCAAGGAACCTCAACAAGCTCCAGTTGGCAGCAGGCAAGTGCAGAACTACTCAGAGGAAAAATAACTTGTAAACAGAGAAGAGCAGCTGAGCCAAATCCTTTTGACATGACTTACTCCAGTTATATACTGGCAAATATTCTCTTCGTTACAGCTGTGATCTCAGGAGTTCTTATAGGAGGTGTTTGAAGACTCTTGTAAAACAGTGGGGAGATAAAAAGAAGTTGCTATCCATAGGCACTCTTAAGTGTTATGTGTCGTTACATATCAGGACTAGTCTTTTAAATAAGATTGTCTATATGCTAGTGATTTCTAGCAGGTGTGAGTACTTTTGTCTAAAATTTCAAAGCTTACCGTTCTATATATTCATGCAGCAGTTTTAGTAGCAGCTCATGATATTTTCAGCTACGTTAATCTAATTATGAAACAGAAGGCAGAATAAAACTCTCTTAACTTTTTATAGATGTCAGATAGCTGTATGTGACATCTAGAAATGCAGGACTAAATGTTTCTGAAATGCTTAAGTAAGAAATACTTTAAAAACAAATAACATGGTTTGTCCTGAAAATTTGCTATGTGTATTCCCAGGGGAACAAGAGGTAATTTAGGCCCACAGCCATAAGTTACAGCTATTGTTTTTTCACATATTTTAGTTTACTTTCTGTAATTTAAAACTTTTTCAATTGCTAATTTTAGGGATCCTATTTGTTAAGTTTATATTAACATAAATTTGATTAGCAAATGAATGGAAAAGATAGAACTATGAGTAATATTGCATAGGTATTTTAATAAGGAATTGTTACCAGAACTTGTATAGATTTTTTTTTAAGGCAAATTCATTATTGAAAATCATTAAATTAAAGTAATTAAAAAGGAAGTAGCCATCTCATTCAAAAAGATTCCAGTAAAATTCGATAATGACAACTAAGTTTCTGAGCAGCCCAGTCTTGTGTATCCAGCAGAGTGAAGAATTTGCCAGTTTATTGATTCTTACTGATGTAGGGCTTGGCAATCAGTTTGTATCTGGAATGATTAGTAGGCATGTTCATCAGTAGACAGGAGCATGAGGTCTGTGACGCTGTAAACAATCACATGGCTACACTAGCTCAAAGGCTTTTATAGTTGGGCAGCTTAAATGATTTTGACAGGTGATGCTGTTTTTATTAAGAACATGATTGTTTTATAAGAAGTAGACAGATTATATTACATGTGTATTCATAATGGCATGACTGACCCATCCACACTGCCAGGAAATGGGTTACAACTGCAAAGAAGCAACAAGGTATCACCTGTTATATATGATTATTAAAATTATTAGAAATGCCTCTCCCCGAATTAAGGTGCAAACAAGACCATATGCCAAAGTCAATTGTATGGTTTTTATTTAACAATAAATGTGAGGCAGAAAGAGAGAGATAGAAAGAAATAGGAAAAAGGAGAGGCAGGGGAAAAAAGAGAGTGACAGAGAAAGATTAAATAGAAAATATATCACCACTCCATGTAACCCAGTGGCATTCCGTGCATCCTCTTCTTCTGGTCTTCTTGGTGGTGAGGGTCTCAAGTTCCCATCACAGTCCAAATTCCAGTCAGGAGGCATATTCGGGAAGGGGTGTGTTTCAGTGGTCACAGACAGGTAGTTGCTTCCTTGCAGTTTGACAAAAAGTCTTTCTATGATTTTGACAATATTTAAGACATTAAAACATTTCATTCTATCACACCACCACAGTGTTCCACAGCTTTGTAAAAAAGTCTCAGGTTCCCTGATATGTTGTTCAAACAACAAGAAGACTTTTTAGGGTCCCAGAGTCAGGAATAAACCAATTGGTTTGTGGATTCCATTTTCTGAAAACCTGTTCAAGATACATAAAAAAAAAAAAAAAATAAAAAGACTAGAAATACAGTAAATTGCACTGTTGCTTGCGGTAGAATGTCAATGAAAGCGCAAAGATGGCATGGAGAGAATTGAAGATGTATATCTTTAAGCTTAAAGCACAGGAAATTTTCAATTAACCATGGATGAAATAAAAACTAGTAATATATAGAAATAGTTTGGATCTGCCAGGATTTCTTTACTCTTACACGCAGTTTGTAGTGTAGCTACTTTGGGCAATACTTAAGATCCTTAATTTTGATAAATCTCTGTTATTCTATAAAAGGCTACTTTCTGTTCATTGTGCTCTGAATTCCTCAGAGCATAATAGCCTGTTTCTGGTGCCCAGTTGGAGTGGATGTTCTTGGTCTGCTGCACATTGTTTTTAGAATGTGATTTATCAACCCAAAAATTATAAAAACTAATATATTTTTAGCATGGTTATCTTTTAATTATAATCTTTATGGTGATCACTTTTTTGTAAATAATCTCTCCCTATTGTTATTAATATAATATGAAGATATTATGCTGAACTAGTACCTGAATTCTGTCAAATGAAGGGTTTGAGATATCTTTGATCTTTTTCACTATTTCCCACTTTCTCTTCTCATGAGTTACGAGGAAATACTTTAAATGTATCTTGAATAACAATAGGACTGCAGTTCAGAACTGCCAATCAATAAATAATGGCTTCTAGTCATCAAAAGTGTAGCTTGCTTCTCACTGTGAAAGACAATTCCAAATAATTGCTCTGAAACCCTATACTTTTTTGTTCTTTATTAAGGTATCAGCTGAAAAGGTATCTGGTATGTACTATAAAGTTAAAAATTCTGAAAGATTTTCTTATCTAAATTCTACTGTTTCCTACTGAAATTTTTTCTTAGATGAAATTTGACCTCCAATTGTTTTAGCTTCAATTGACTTTTCTGCTTCATGTTGCCATCACACCATTTTAAAAATTTTTTTCAGAGCAAGGAGGTGGAAGAAAGTGAACACAGGATTTGGGACCAGACGAAGTTCCTTGTATGTTGCTGGAGATTCTCCCAAGACAGTGAGTGAAGATGCAGGAGATCATCAAACAGCCCTGCCAGCAGCAAGACGAACAACAAAGAGGAGGAGCAAACAACTTATATTCTTCATAAAGACTTACATGAAAATGTAATTGAAGAAGTGCATGTCAGACATATAAAGGAACACTGCATGCATTATTTTTATGTATTCCTGATTTTTTGATAGGAACAAGGGAAATGATAGTGTCAGTGGGTACAAATTTAGAATTTTTGTTGGCCATTATCTGTCCTTCCTTTCTAGTTGTCTTAATGGCTCTCTTCTAAAGTAAAATGTGGATTTGAAATAACATGTCCTATATTTTATCTTTGGGTAAATGTACTTTAGAATGTGCATGGCATAGCAGAGAGGTTCACATTCTGTCCTGGAAAGACAATGAGTCTGAAGTAGAAGTCAGTGGTTTGCTTCTTGCTTTGCTCTTGCATTTTGCTTTCATATAGCAGTGAGCAAATACATCTGTACTTCAGGTCCTCCTGCAAATGATTGGAAGCTGAGATCTACATGTTTTTCTGACCCTCCCTGAGCTTTTGTCTGCTGCTGGAGATGGAATGCTAAAGCAGAAGGATCTGTGTTTTGACTACCTTCATACTTTCTTAACCCTGCTTCGTGTCTATAAATGCTGACCTAATCCCAGTCATTACCTCTCAGGATAGACTAAGGGATATACAATGAGGGAATATTGTCTTTTTTTGTTGTCAGTGCCAATACACAAGTTCATCAACAAAGTATACAGAGATACGGTGAGATAATGTATTTTTAAGTAGAGTTTAAACATGTTAAACTTCTAAGAATGGACAATAAAATAAGATTCGTAATATTTTTTTTCATAATCCAAACTTCCTCCCTTTATTAGTTCACTGGTTCAAGGTTTTTTATTGAACAAAAAGTTCTGGTCTTGTTCCCTCCGTTGTGAAATGAAGCACTGACTTTCTCTAAAACTCCATCTGCTTTTCTTCTGCCAGCGTCTTCTTGCCACCTCAGTGTGTAACAGCAGTATTGAAAACATTGATGTGCACAATATTAATGGAAATTGCATAATTATTGATTTTCAAATGTTATAACAGCCAAGTGCACTTTTATGGTTACCTTGAAGCACTTGAAAATACAGCAGTACCACTCAACATCTTACTGATAAAAGCTTGCATCATTTAGATAAGCTTTACAGATAAGATTTTTTTTTCTCCTATCCTCTGACAAGCCATTAGAAACATACTTGTTTCAGAGATAAAGCCCTAGGGTTCCAGCATTGGGCAAAATCTGTATAAGCTCCAGGGTCTCTTTTCAGCCCACAGTAACATCTGTGGCTAAAAATCAAGTCAAACGATTTTATGAGTTACTAGGGAAACTGGGATTCTGTCTTTCCCCTCTATATTTCTAAACAAGTAGGAAAAACAAGTAACCTTTAAATGGTGCTGGAGAACATTTCTGTGCTTGGTAATGTAATAAGGATATGGATGGAAATCAAACTAGCAGCTGGTTTCTTCTCCTCTGTCTAGCTCTACCACATAAATATTTTTTACTTGTTCACTGTATTATAATACTCAGCAGGTGTGATACACCTGGGTAGTCTAACAGTCATGGTGACAGTAAAAAGATCATCAGATGATGCTAGTTTAAAAATTTATATTTCAGAATATCAATGCGGTATCTTTTCTTTCTCATGAGGAAATTATACTTTCTTGTGGGGTAGTTAGTATTCGCATTTGTCCCACCCATGTCTTTGTAATCACTTATTGATCATATTTTACTTTCAGGTGCCTTCTGAATAGCACTTTTTAAGTTTTCTTGCTTACCTATGATAGATCACGCAAGATGCCTTAATTTTTCATAATTTCTCTCTATTCTCTGATGTAGAAAAAACTCAGCAACTTCCATTAACTTCATAAAATATTTATGTTGTCAATATAGACACAGAGAACTTCAGAGGCCTCTATGAAGAAGTAAGCCCATAAACTAGTCACTTGAAGGTAAGCCAAAATGAGATGATGCATGATTGCCCTGGCTGGAGTTGAGTATGTCTGACCTTTTCATAATAATACTAGAATGTCTCCTGATCTTAAATAGACGTCTATGATATTTGCTATATATCAGTGTTCCCATCCATTCCTCTTCAGACTTTACACAGTGACTAAGCATAATTAACCACACAAACTCCTAATGCTAAATCTGGTTGCAAACCTTTGAGTTATTCTTCATCTCTTAAATGAGTGGTGCCTAAAAATGTGGATTGTCTCTAGAAAAACTTCACAAAATAGTCTTTCTTGTTTTCCTTTTCAAGGTGATAGATAGTATGAATGTTTTATGTGGATCAGTTTTACAAACAGATTATAAACGCAGTGATAGAAATACCTGAAAATAATTTTCACAATTTTCAATTAAACCTTGTTTAATACCATATATAAATATATATATATTATTTAATATTGGAATACATGCAGAAAGATAAGAAAGAGTGATTTATGTGGTTTTGTGGTCACCTAGTAGTTGATAGGAAAACAGTGGGTAACACTGTGTTTAGAACATAATAGAATAACTCATCTGGAAAGGATTTAAGATATTTAAAATAGATTTAAGAATTTAAAATATGCCAGTAAGCAATTATTTCTCAGAAACTATGAAGATTCTTGGATGCTTTTTACCATTACAGATCTTCTATCACATGACTTCAGGAAGAAGGAAAGAAATTTTATTCAATTGAAATCAAAAAGGTCTATTCAAAATGATCTAAAAAATAGCATTAATTTAGGGGGATATTCTAAATATATTCAACAAATATAACTATGTTAGACTGCAAATGTGATTCACTTGCCTCCTTTAATCATGAATAGAATATTTTCCGGGCAATGCCATTTCAGGAATCTATTGATCATAATTAGAAAAGGACCATGAATGACTATTTATGATAAGATTGGATAAAAAATTCTTAAGGTTATTAACATTTGAAAGGAAGAAAATGTAGATAAGAAAAGGACAAACAAAACCACGCTATTTAACATTTAAGCTTTGGGTTTTATCTTTGTAAGAGAATTTAAAATGAAGAAGCATTTGCATACCATCAATCAGTGAACACATCAGAAGTTAAAAATGGATTTGCTAGTTTCATTAGCTCAACAAAACGCAATGGTACACATACAATAGACTGTATTTCTGTTAGTAAATTAATGCTTTTCTTCCAGTCAGATAATCAATAAAAATACAAATGGATTCAACAGCTGATGTTTTACATAGCTTCTCATTAAACATTGTACTGCTTTATTGGTATCTACAAATGGAATTTAAGAAGTGGAGCTTTGAGAATTTTAAAATGACAGCATATTCCTGAAGGCACTTAGTTGTTCCCTAATGTTCTATGGGCATTGATTAGAGATCAATAAAAGCATGGATCTCTCTCTTAGGGAGAAAAAAATTTAAAAAAATTGTGTGGACCAAATAGTGTCATGGTAATATTCTAAGAAAATAATTTAGAATAAAGAAAAATATCAAACTTTGAGCTGTCTGCATTTAAAAGAAAAAAAGAAACCCAGTATTTTTAATGTACTTTGATGTATCTTAGACAGGTATTTTGAAAAATCACGATTTTTTCTTAATATAAAACCATAAATTTATGTGATTATTCTCATATTTTATTCTTTCCTTACTGTGCGCTAATTCTGCACCATATTTTACTCCTTTTATGTATTGTCAGATATATTGTTAAAAATCAGATTGAGCGGAATAGGAAGTATTAGATGCTTTTACTGCATCTAATGGAACAATAATTTTTTTCCCAACTTAAATGCCTTATGAAAGCTTACATGTAATTACATATAAATAATCATTGATCAGATTCTCTTTTTACAGTGTTGTGGTGTGTTAGCCATGGCTGACTGCCAGGTGCCCTCTGAGATGCCTCTCCACAGAAGAGGGGGAGAAAATAGGATTAAAGAGCTTGAGAATCAAGCTGAGGACGGGGTGATTTCTTATAAGGTATTTTCATGGGCACGACAGATCTGATGTGGGGAAATATAGCTTATTGCTAATTAATTACAGTGTAAGATAGTGAGAAATAAAAAAAGTAAACAAAAACCACCTTTCCCTCCCCCTTCTTCCCATGTATGGCAGTTTGAGCCACATTAGAAATCTAAAATCCAGTTTCCAGGCTTCCCCACCCCTTCCTACATTTTATCCCAACACCGAAGAGAAAACTTTCAGGCCAGAGGCTTCTGTAGGGAAAGGGGGAAGCATATATACATTTTATTTACACAAATAAATATACTGTACAAATTAAAAGCAGCTATATATATATTATTACACTTCTATCAGTCTCTTCAAAGCTTCTCCTTTTAACTTTAGTCCAGGAAAAGCCTTTCAAAGCTGATAGGTAACGCAGTCTCTCTCTCGTGGGAGTGTTCGGGGCCCCTGAACACTCCCCCACCAAACTTCAGCTGCTTGTGGAAGTCCTTCCTTCCTCACAAACTCCAAGAAGGCAGCTCTGAGTCCCTTCTCCTTCGTCCTGTGTCATTTCTGCTGTGTGATCTCTCCCTCTTGGTCTCATACCTCAGTTCGCTGCTGCTTTAGTGTAGCCTATCACAGTAGGCGTTTGGAATTGTCATTCTTCCAAGTCAGTTTCCGGTTGCCCCCGGTCAAACCTCGGCAGGGCAACTCCCAAGCCCTTTGGCCTGTCTCCAATTTTGCCTGGGATTTCTTTCTCTGGCTCCGAGCTGTTTTGTTATCAGCCCGTCCACTTGGCTCTGCTTCAATGCTGAGCCTTGCATCCACTCCCACTAAACAGCGAGAGGGAAAAGCAGCCCCCTTCTGCAGCCTGGCTTTCCCAGGGGGAAAGAAGAAGAGGGCCTGGCCACAAGGCGTGCCTCTCTCTCTCTCTCGTTTACCAGTTGTTTGTGAGTCACATCCCTCACAAACACACACTCACTCCAATGCTGTCTCTAACTTTAGCCTAGGCAGAGTTAGGGGGTCTCAGGGCTCCCCTCTCCCCCCGCCGGAGGTGGGGAAAGAAGGAGCCCAGCCAACCCCTCTCCTTCTACACCTACAAGCAGCAGACACCAACAGAAAATCTGCCAACAGCTTCCGGTGCTGTGTATATATGATTTTAAGCAGAAGCGAACAAGATGAGGGGTGATTGGCTCTCCAGGGAACACTGCTCTGGCACCCAATCACCTCTGAGCCCCCAATCCTCAGGGGGAGCCAATCTCAACCCATAACACCATGTTAAACTTTGGTCTTCACTCCTGAATCCTCTGCCTCTTTACTTCAAGTAGCACAGGAGTATGGGGAATGAGGTCCATAACATCTCCTCCCTGCCACTGCTTCTTTCTCAACATGTGGTCCCTCCCACAGGATACAGCCCATGAACTGATCCAATGTGGGTCCTTCCCATGAGGCATGATCCCTCAGGAACAGACTGCTCCAGCATGAATTCTAAGCTGCAGGTCTTGCCAGAAAATCTGCTCCTGCATGGTTTCTCCACCAGCTGCACCTTCCTCCTGGCATGTCTACCTGCTCTGACGTGGGGCCCTCCATGGGCTGCAGTGTGGATCTCTGTTCCATCATACACCTCCACGGGCTACAGGAAGACAGCCTGCCTCACCACAGTCCTCTCCAGAGGGCTGCAGAGGAACTTCTGGTGCCTGCAGCACCTTCTCCCTACCT